TCTTTTCTTTTCTTTTCTTTTTTTTTCTTTTCTTTTCTCTTCTTTTCCTTTCTTTTTCATTTGCTTCCGCTTCTGTTTGTTTACTTTCGTGTCTTCCTTACTTTTTTGCATTTATTTTTCTATTTTCTTTTGTATTTTTTCCTTCTTTTCTTTGTGTCTCTTTGTTTCCTTAACCATGTACACTTGGATTTGAGTTTTCAAATTTACGATGCTAATAGTTGCTTGGTCTTTCGAACTATTCGATCCTTCGATCCAAATTTTATTGATATGTGATCCCTCTAAATAGGTTTGCGCAGCACTTTCTTTCTCCTCATAACTATAGTATCTTTGAAGAGCACGCATATTAAATACAGAAATCGAGTCGGTCAAAAAAGACGAAGAAAGGGAAAAAGCAGATTAAAACGATCTAATTTTTGTTTGAAATAAGATTTGTTAAGCCTTAAAGTGATTTGATCAAAGGAGATAATAGATTTATCGTAACTCTTTTTTATAGGAAAAAAAAATTCAAAAAAAAAATATTAATTTTTAATTGAATCTGAATCGTGTCGAAAAGTGAAAGAAATCTTGAATTTTTCAACTTTCAATCCATCATCGGTTTAAATGATCTATCGTTGGATGTATGTTAAATATTTTGCATATAATTGCATTAAGGCATTCACGATTCACTCTGAGGCGAATATAATTTTTCGTGGGCAATATGATACCGAAATACTTACCGTTTTGCATCGCTACACTTTTGTCTTCCACACGACTAACATAGCAACATAATTCATCTTGACGTTCGGCGTTTTCAATGAGTTCGGCTTCAACGGAAAAACCCCACATTTGTTCCAATGTTGTCCTTTGCAACTCCACCTGATATAAGATTTTCATGCAGACTTCGACAAATTCGTGATTGTGTAGCTGCAAACAATGATTAAGCAACATAGACATGTATACGCAAGCAATGGTTTTAAAATTAAAGGGGAAGTAATGATCATTTTTTTGATGTTCAGTGGCCTTTAAATGTATTTGAGTCGATAAGTGACATTTTCCGATAGTCCTGTAAACGAATGTTTAAATCTGAAATTTCTATGCGTGTTGTGCGAGCCTTTCACTGTGAAATGTAAAAATTGTTGGAGTTGTCAACGGAAGTGTTATGGCATTTGCATCAGTGATTGCAACTTCCGCATTTAGCTTCGTATGCACGCGTTGCTTACGTGAAATCGTGCAAATGTGTAATTGTGGTTGTTTCGACGCATGTAAACGAAAACTGATTACTTATTTCTGCTTCTATATTCGGCCATAAGCCACAATATAATTTTTTTTTTTTTTTGAGTTATTCGGAAGATGAGTTAAAAACTTGCTGTGGACAATTTCTATGGCTATGCTAATGAGGATATTATTGTCAGGTGTAATCAAAAACAGTTTATGACAAATGCACAATAGTATTGGTAAAAGTTCTTGGATATGTTTTTTTTTTTTTTTTTTTTCAATATTTTCTTGGCAAACAAATGCAATTTCGACTAAATTTCCTGAAGACATTTTTTGAAGTTTTTTATCTTCGAAGAGTGGATTACGGTTGAAAGACAATTCGATTTGGAAAAGTTCTGCTTTAGTGCTCGTAAAAACACAAGTAGTGCATGAATTTGAATGCTATTTAGGTATGCATTTTTAGGAATTGTTCGATACCTTAGCAGGTAACAACTGTAAGATGTATTGTCGAGAGCCGATAATATATGTGGTGCTTTTTTGTGGTAATGTGTATGATGAGTGTTTGCTTCATTTTTCAATTTACTTACATAGTTCTCTATCAAGTCATTGCGATGTGGCACAAAGTAATTATGATCCTCCATGTCACGTCGTTTCTTTACACGTACAAAATGCTCCATGGGATTGAGATTGCGACGAGCACATGCACTCGCTAGAAATTCTTCTACCGACATAGCGTCACGTAGATAAACAGTCGAATAAGCATTATCAGGCATTGCAACTTTGAACGTTTTTTCCGGTTCATCACGGGAATTTAGCTGAGATAAATAAATTCGACGAGATATTAGGAAATTAATGTGTGTTTGTATTAACAATAACTAGTTTTGATTGGAAATCAAATGAAAAGCCACCGATAGCTCGAGCGCCAGGCAGAGAGGAAAATTTGAAAAGGAAAGAAGAAAACTTAACCTGTCATATAATGTTTTAAATAATTCATCTTCCACTAAAGCTTCGCCCACCGCTATCAAATTTGTTCATGTTACCATATGGTGGAGAGAAAAAAAAAAGAGAAAAACTGTAAACACTCGCAAGTTCCTCTTAAGTACTTCAAGAAGTCAAGTTACAAACGCTATAATAAATTCATAGCATTCACGATAATTGTTGTTATGCTGTGTCGCAGAAGAAAAGTAATCAATTGTCTGGCATTTGTTCTCGGTTGCGGTGATGACGATGATGATGATGATGGTGATGATGATGATGATGATGATGATGATGATGATGATGATGATGATGTGAACGACGACGATATCAAAGAAGAAATTAAATACGTTTAGCAGCAGACATCTAATACATTTACGTCTTCATATGCAGTTATGGGTGGGTACGTGCATTTAGTTAATATATATTGATGTGCATACATACAAGAATTTTGTAATAAATTACAAAAGTACACACTGGTTTCGAATGTGACTACCTAAGCAACGTCAAGCCGAAAGCAACAATTTTGTCTTTATTTCTAAAGAAAGACATAGCAGGATATATTTCAATTACCGCTAATATTACAATCAGCATAAACATATGAATATAAGCGCTTTGCAATCATTTTATAAATTTCATATAAATAATCGAGGAAACTGCTTATGTTAATTAACACTTTATTCAAAAAAAAAAAAAAAAAAAATCATTTCTCTTTAAACATCACCTGCATTACGTTGCGGTTTTTTTTATTTTGCTAACTTTTCAATCTTGAAATATTAACAAATTTTTTACGCTGATGACCATAAGGTATGCATGTGTTTGCAAAATGTAAAAAGACAGATTTTTTTTTGCCTTATTGGAAAGTAAGTAGGGCACCTACTATTAATAGGTTTTTTTGTTAATTGCTGGCAAGATAGTCGTCGATCAGTGAAAGTGATTTTCAAAAATTTTCGATTTTTTCCTTTAACTAAGATTAGGTTCCTATTTCCTACTTTCGATTTGTGGGTAATTTTTTGTCTATTCTAATCGCAACTTACAAGGCGATCGAGCTAACTCAGGTGATCAGGCACGTAGTAATGATCTATGAATACCATCAATTTCATTAATTTAGGCAATCTTTAGTGACGCAACGCAAGTGAAAAGATGAAATTAACAAATTTGTAATTTTTCCATTTTCGATATAATCAATCATTAATAGGTATGTATCAGATTGTGCGAGTGTTAGTGTTTATAAAAATAAAGAACATAGTTTTATGTATTGAAATTGTAATGAATTTTTACCTGCATTGAACGGCGACTAGAACCGCTATTCGAACGCGAGAGCATGGGGGGACGACGTTTGGTTGCCCCTCTTCCAGCCAATAAATTATTAAGTAATGACGGCGAACGGGCGCAGATGAATGCATGAAATGAGGAAACCGTAAATACGCCCAACTTATTGAGTATATTCTTTGTTGGACGTGATACATGTGTAAGCAAAGACTTGAACGAAAACAATAATGAAACGTTATTGCAATAATCGAGCATTTTAGCTTGTTTCAGTAAAATATTGAAATTGAAATATTTATTACTATATGCATATATTTATTTAACTAAAAATGTGTATCTGTTAATTTCATATATGTCATATATGACGTATTTAAGGATATTTACAAATATTAAAATAAAAAAATATTTGTGTGAGTGTATGCTTCGTGTTAGAAAATTCTAAACTATTACCTTTGGATTGGGTAATTCACCACTCTGCAATGAGGCCATATAACAACGCAAACGAAATTGTTCACAGTGCAAACGCTCCAGATTTTCTTCCCATTGTAATATTTGCGTTTGTATTTGCAGACGTGTGTCTTGATCCGTAACAACCGATTGCTGAAGCTCGGCCATATTTTTCAGTTTATGGTCCTTTAAAGAAAAAATGTGAAAACATTATATGAAACTTTCCTTAGATATTTTAAACATTTAAATGTTATATATATATATATATATATATCCATATATATGGATATGGTTTGCGGTAGTTTTTATGCCATTAGTGGAATTTTTAAATAAAACCGTTTCGTTCACACATGTGCACACACACACACACACACACACACGCGCACGCACACAGCTACGCGCCCATAAATTCATATACGAATATGTTTGTGTGCACCTAAATATATTTCATATTAGATACAAAGCATATTCATAACCCCTTATAATTCTGTATGGGTGTTTGTGTGATTTTCTTTATTTATAATAAAAATATGTAAAAGAGAAAAAATCTGAAACGAGACATAAATACCGAGATTCGTTATAAAGCGAATCTTGGATACTCATCATTTACCAAAGACTCAACACACGTCTGTTGTTACCTACACTCGATCATAACATGTTTTATATGTTTTCCCTTTATTTTAATATGCAACGAAGAACAATTTTATTATATAGCATACAAGTGTTGCTACGATCGACCGTCGTTATGCAAGTCAAATTTTAGATTTTTACGCAAAAACTTCAAATCCATAAGAGCGTCAAAATTTTTATTATTGTTATTGCGATTATTATTATTTTTCTTTTCAATCAACTTGCATTTTTGGAATATTTTTGGAGTAGGATAATTGACTTAGAATTTCATTTATATTGTGTTCGTTTCTATGGAAACTACGATTTATGTCACACATTTGGAGCAGTTCCAAACGGAATGATGGACTTAGCATAACTCCATTCTTTAGCGATAAGTTATAAAAAAAAAAAAAACATAATAACTAAGAAATCTGAAAAACATTTGTGCAACAAATGTGACAATATTTATATATTTATATATATATATATATATATATATATATATATATATAAAGAACATCATACACAAATATTTTTAAATAAAGGAATATGCAGGCTTAGCATATAATACCATATATATGTGCACATGGTAGCGTATGTAAGCCTGCCTTTCTCTTATAAAACTATTGGCGAAGATGTAAACTAACATATAATGCATATTTATATATTTATATATATATATATATATATATATATATATATA